ACTGCTACACCCCGCTCACATTACCAAAACCCTATCGGTCTTCCTGCTACACCCCGCTCACACTGCTACTCCTGGTCTTCTAGGTTGGCTGCCTGGTGGTTCCCACATGGCTTACAAAGGGACCTATACGTGAGCAGGGGTCTTCAGTAAACGAAAACAGTCACAGAAGTGTCCCCTACGTTATCGTTTTTGTTATCGTTCAAACACCCATCACAAATTCCCGGATTTCTGAACGTCATTTTAGCAGCTCATGATAAACCACAAGGATGCAGTCAATCAGGGAAGCATGTCACCAGGCTTTTGTGTGACCCCCACATGTACAACCCTGCTACACCCCGCTCCCACGTGTACAAAAACTTTATCTTTTTTTTCTGTGAAACTTATCGTTCCTGAAGGTTTCCCTCATTCTTGCTTAACTTAATCTTCGCTGTAATATTGCTGCCTTCATCGGAGGTTTTGACAGTTGCTCATATCAGATCTTAGCCTCTACACATGTCGGTGCTCTCCTTGAAAGACTCTAACTGAGCTGCAGCCATAGCACGGACGTGCGCAAAACTCTGCTCAGACTTGTCACAGAAAAGTTACAGTCGTTGAACCGCCTGAGTCTACTGACCTGATGGCTTCGATGGGATGAGCTCGTTTTGATGCTGCTGCGAAAGAAGATCTGGAACACACTACGCTGCTAGAAGTGCTGCTACAAATTCCGTACGAAAACAGTATTAAATTTAATACCGTGTTCGGCTGCTTTCTGCGCCGGCATATCTTGCATATCGTGCATCAAACGCCCGCCCTCTGACACAAGGACTCGCCGACACATGCTTCTCGTAGTCAGCTTCGAGTCTCGAGCCATGGTCATGTTGCCATGCGTAGATGTTTTGGCACAGCCCTTCCGATTGAGTAGGAAGTGGAAGCACGACAAACTTGTTATCAGTTTGGCAAACTTACTGCGAAGTCAGCTCCGGGTCCCGCATTCCTGTTGCATTGCCTTGGGTCGTTTTTGGGCCTACACTCTTGAACAGCCCACCCTTCTATGAGCGCTTCCAGCCTCTTGGGCCCTGTTTGACTTGAAGACCTTGCCGTTAACCTTGCTGCTCTCTTCTTCTGAATCCCGGCCTGAAGTCCACCCGGCGACACGCAGCAGACCACCTTCTTCCCGGTCTGGCCTGGGTTTGTTGCCCCACGCGCACCGAACACCCATGACCGGACGGGAGCGATTCCCTTTTTTGTTTGCCGAAGCAGCTTCGAAATGCCTCCAGGGTCGTCTGAGGCCTTTTTGACAACTTGGGCACCAATGAACTGAACCACTTCTGAGTTGGAGATGTTGGACAACTCAGTCAAAGAGCTATCATCGAAAGGCGATGCCTTTCTCTATGAGGTCTCCAAAAAGGGCTGAGCCCTCCGGGTGTTTTTCGGACCAAACCAGACGAATGATGGCTCCAAACTAAGGAAGAAACAAGCACACCCTGTCTTTCACTCGTGGGCGTCCGCACTGCCCATGCGGTACACACAACGCCTCTCCTGACAAGGTGTGGCATTGGCGGCAACGGCATAAATAAATGGAAACTGCATGAACTGAGGTGGAATGTATACGAACCTAAAAATGAGTTGGCCGGTGACCTTTAGTCTTCAGCTGTGAAAATCATGCTTAGGAATCCTTAGGAATGAGGGAAAATGAGTATAGGAATGCTGAAAGGTCTTCAACAACTCCTTGAGGTCTGTTTGGACCTCGAAGCTCGTTCGGAGTTGGATGTTGTGATCACAAGTTGGAGTAGTTTGTTTCAGAATTGCTGCAAATCAGACGTCTACGAAATCGAACCACCGAATGATCCAAATGGACCGTGTCACCCCACTAGGTTCAACTGTTGGATCGCCATGTATATGTAATGAGGGACTGAAGAAAAGCAACGCAGCATCATGAGCATCACGGGAAGCCACAAACCAGGCGTATCAGACACCTGGTTTATGTATGTTTGTTTGAGCATCTTTGTAGAGTGTGTGAAGTGTCAGCCATATCCACTGAGATGCCGAAGGAAGCTCAAAGGCAGGTGTATCTGACTTCCCGTGATGCTCATGGTGCTGCCTTCTCAGTTTCAACTCAGGCTGATATGGTATAATATGGAAGCGGCTTATGTACTTTTGTTCAGGCATATTTATAGCCGTGTAGGCGATGCATCTAGGCATCTTTTGCAACTCGATCTGGCTACACGGTTTGCCTCTCTGCCGACAAGGAGTCGCAGGCCCACGGTGGCAGAATGTCCATTCATCAAAGCCAAAGACAAAGGTATCTGCTGAAACAGATCCTGGCGAGACAGCATAAATCCCCAGCCGCTGCGTGTAGTGGACAGTGGATGGTGGATCCACTACTACTTATAACTTATACCAAAAACCTTCTACCGCAACCACCAGAGGCACATGTCGCCTTTTCGCCTCCGGCGCCGTCCATCTCGAAGGGGGCCCATTCATCGACTGCATGTATGTGGCGGGGGCGTTGATGTTTGGCTCGGGCTCCAACTGGGCACCATGTGAAAAACCTAATCGCAACACTTATGCCCTCCACATCATCCACACGCAGCAGATGTCATCATCCTCTTCCGGAACAGGCGGGAGTCATTCCGGTGAATAGGATGGTCCTTCTGCAGCAGGCTGAGGTGGCTCTGTTTCAACCTATTCATGGCCTCTCATGCGAGCATCTAGAAACGATTGTTGACTTGTACCTTCTACAATCTCACCGGGAACTATTGGATCACCGTGCAAAATGCTAAGTGCTAAGGCCTCGGATGCGGTTGCTGGTCTGACGTTTTGGGCAGCTACCAAAACAGGAACATTACCCACAAAGCAACCATACCCTCTCTGGCATCTAGGCTCACCTCAGGTCACTCCTAAACTTTAAGAACCCGCATCAAGGCACTTGAGCCAAAATGGTGTCAGGAATGACCACTGTCCACCCTAGGCCTGCCAAACTTGAGACAGATATATATATATATATATGCGCACACACACACATATATATATATACATACACACGCATCATATGTACACACTTTATGCTAGTTGCTAGAACCATCTAGAACCTCTAGTAGACCAACAAAGCCTCATTTTCCTCGAAGAAACGTCGGGGAAAATCGTCGCTCGTTGCATTTCTTCCAAAAGCTCCAAGGCCTCGCGCCAAGCGCGGCTCTCCTCTGGGTGGAAAGGAGTGGCTCTCTTTTACAAACCGTCGAGCCATAGAGAGCCACAACGCCGCAAATTTCCGAAACCTAAATATATTGCAAGACAAAGATGGGAAAAGAGATGAACAGAGTTTGCATCTTCTTTTGGTGAGGGGATGTCGGTGTCTGTAACGTGTACTCTTCTCTGTCCTCGCAGCTGCTGACAGCAGAGCTGTAGCTGATGAGGTTTGCTTCCACGGACCAAACGTCCAAAGAGTGGAAGAGCTGCAGTGCGCGAAGCCACTCCTGCAGAGCGTTTAACTTTTTTCGCCGCCCTGTTTTCGAATGGCATTGTTTGCAAGCCATAATTCCGGATTCCCAGGTCACCACAGTTGCAGTCGCATAGCCGCACGAAAACATGAGCGTTGCCAAGGCGGTGACAAAAGGGCCGGCGACGCTGACAAGCAGGACAGACCCGGACAGCCTGGGCAAAGCCCTCGCAAGGAAGGCTGTGCTCTGAGTGAATGTGGTTAGCCACTCGCCAACCTGAATGAAAAACCACTGTAAACCGCTCTGACCACCCTCAAGATCTCCAGATCAAAGTCGAAAGTTCTAACTCCAAAGCTCGGGGTTCAAGAGTCGTCGAGCGACCGAGGTCACATAACACGTACAAGTCTGCAGACCTCAGATTCACATGAAGCAGCCCCTTTAGAGGAGAAATTATTATTCGCAGAACGCCGCGCTTGTTAAAATGCAATACTGCAGATGATCAATCCGTGCTTCCCACTCCAAGGCATAGCTCCGTTACACTAAGTTTGCCAAGGGGTGCTCAGAGCTCCTGCTGCAAACAAAAGTGAAAAGCAAAGGGTAAATTGCGTCCAAGGTTTGCGCACACACGCCTCCCGGAGGGAGACGCGTTTCATCAGGTTGCAAGGCGAAAACAAACACACACACACACACACCTCCCGAAGGGAAGCGCCCTAATGCGCACATGCGCGCGCAAGAGGGACAAAAGAAATGACATGAAAAGGGGACAGGGCAAGACTAAGGTATGTGGTTGCGATGACAGGGAACCAAGTGCGCGTGACAACCGGTGAGCCTAGCCTCCTTGTCAAAACCTGCGCGCCAAGGGCCGGACCAATGCGCGCGCAAAAGAAAGGAAGGAGTGACGCGACCGGCCAGAAAAGCAGGAGCCTGTCGAGAGGAAAATAGAAGGGAAACCAAAAACAGATGAAGCCAAACCTCCCTAGAACAACCTGGGGGTTTGGCATTTGGTGTGGGTGAAGCGCGGTGTGCGCACATAAGGCTCGGACAGTCGCAGTCGCCCTTGAGTGGACTGCGGCGCCTACCCTAGCCCATGTCAATATGACTGGCAGCACCGCTGCTGTAGTCTAGAAGCGGGACCAAGTAGGAAGTTTTCAGGTGAGACAGCAGGTACGTCTGGCTGATGAAAGGACGCGCTATATTTTGTGCGAGCGATGGGTGCCTGGGTGACCTTTAGAAAATCTGTCGTGGTAAGGCCAGGGCATTGGCAAAAGTAGTGCAAATTTCGTGGCGCTGCGTAGGGGGTTGGGGGGAGGGTGCAGTGCCTCCCCCCGAGCGAACCAAACATCAAAAGCCATCAAACTCAGAAGGCACCACAAAATAAACGCCCCCCATTGCCTCATCGAACTCAGAAAGTGGCGCAAGGACCAAGGAAACCGGGTATCGTTTTGTTTGACCACGAGGCCAGCGGACCAGGACAAGGAGCAGACCAATGGACGGGACCTACTGATTGTTACTGTTTGATCATGTTCTTATTGTTTTATTGATCCTGTTCTTTTGTCTTGTCTAGATGCCCGCCCAGAGAGTGTGGCCAGTTTCCTAAGAGAGAACCCCAACAGGAAACTGTTTGGGGAAACATTCTGAGGATGATATCAAACTTGGAACGCTGCGCCACTCTTGGTTTCATAGCCACACGAAAACATAACCGGAGAAGGCGGTGGAGAAAGGGAAAGCGGCATGGCCAAGGCGGCGATAAAAGGGCCGCGCAGCCGAGAAGGCCTGGACAATCCTGGACAAGCCCCGGGCAAGGCGGAAAAGAATGCAATTTCTTTCTTAAACTGTTTGGGGATGTTTGGGGAACAAGAGGAGGACACAGCGTTTGCAAGCGTGGCTAGAGGACGGGAGGAGGACAGCAGGAGGACAAGCCTTGCCAGAGGACAGCAGGAGGACACCTGGAGGACAACAGGAGGACAGCCGGGGAAACATAAAAGAACAAAAACAAGCAACATAAAAATATAAGATTGTGAAAACGATGTGACACAATGTGAAACCAAAAACTACGCGCATCGTGACGTTTGGAGAGAGGCTATAGCGGCTATAGGCTCCGCTTCTCCTGACCCTTGCCACATGCACTGATGGCAGAGCTGCAAATCACGACATTTGCCCCGCGGGAGTTCCACAGGAACGAGAGGAGCTGAAGGGCCTGGCGCAAATGAACTGCAAGACATGTATTGACTCCTCTCTCTCCGCAAGGTCGAAAAGAAAGGAGCACACGTCTTGAAGGGACAAGCACAGCGTGGAAAGCTCTCTCCTCCTGCCACTTTCCAGACTTCTCACACGCACTTATTGCAGAGCTGTAAGAAAATACATCTGGCTGAAAGTGCCTCACGCGATGCGACAAACATCTGATCTTTTGGTCACACAAAATTCATCAACATTCCGTTGAAGATCCATGCAACTTCGCCAAAGTCTTGGCCCGGCACCGGTGGGCAAGTTCGGCGAAGAAGTGGGACGCAAGGATCCACTGGTCTCCTTTGCTGCAGGCGCTGATCAAAGAATTATAGGTGATGACCTGAGTCGAGCCATGAACAATTGGCCAATTTAGGTCCATTTTGAAAATGCAGGAAGGCCACTGGGCAGGTGAAAGGATCCGAATCAAAAGTTTCATTTAACTTCTAACCTGGAGCAAGCGGCATGGGCTTCCACTTCATCTTCTTTAAGTGTTTGCATCAGCAGCAACGACATCCTTGTTTGAAGTGCAGGATCCCTCTCTTTTGTTCATTCAGTCTATATGTAATTAATTTTTTTTGTGTTTTTGGTGAACAAATCTGTTGCTTGAATCGGCTTCATAAGCTGCAAGTGTCCACCAATCTCCAACAGTCTCACAAACACTGATCGCTGAGCTGAAGGTGATGATATTGCAAAGCTGCTGCAGACGTGAATTCAGGAGCAATACAAGCGCCTTCAGGAGCGCAGTTGAAAAGCATCAAAACATGACGAAACGATCAAGGCTCAACATAGAGAACCCGAGATGAAGAAATGCGAACCAAAGCTGAAAATAGCTGAAGCACCTTTTGCTTAGGCTGTATGGGCTCCCTGCCTGTTGCCATTCCCCAGTCTTTTCACAGGCACTAATTGCTGAGCTGTAGGTGATAACGGTTGGTGAGAGCCTCCTGCCCTGGGCCTCTTGTATGAAGTTCTCGCTTTCTCCACCTAACTCAAGCAAGAACTCGAGAAAGGACTTTCCCATACTCACCTTGCTCTTAGGTTGGAGGCCATCGCTCGCAGGTTGGAGGCTGGAGGCCATCGCTACTGGGCTGGAGCAGCGCTACAGTACTAGGTTGGAGGTCATTGCTATTAGGTTGGAGGCCATCGCTCTTAGGTTGGAGGCCACTGGTTGGAGGTCATCGCTCTTAGGTTGGAGGCCATCGCTCTTAGGTTGGAGGCCATCGCTACTAGGTTGGAGGCCATCGCTACTAGGTTGGAGGCCATCACTACTAGGTTGGAGGCCATTGCTTCTAGGTTGGAGGCCATGGCTATTATTTTCTTACTCAGTACTCACCGTACTCTGGGTCCTACATTGGTTCACCCGTCTCACATTGCAAAGGCGCAAGAGCCAATGCCAATGACTGCATTGTATGTGATCATCGTCGGCATGAGTCTTTTCAAGTAGAGATCTTCGAACAGTTGCATGGCCGGTGCCTGGGTTTACATCTGACTCTAGAAACATGGAGAATGGATGTGAGTCAAACAATAACTAGTGGCCAGGGCTCCCATGTTTGTGCCCTTTCACATGCAGTGATGGCTGAGTTGTAGGAGATCACGTCAATTTCCAAGCGCTTTGCATCGAGCTCCTCTGTCAACTCCAAGGCCTTCCGCCACTCCTTGGCACGTTTGATCTTTTGGGTCCTCACTTGCTTGTGGTGCCATGGGCAGAGTTCTGGCGCAGTCTCCAGGGACTCCGTGCGAACACCAACTTCCAGTCTCATGGGCGCAAAGGACAAGGGGTACACAGCTAATCCCTTGTAAACAGTAAGTTCCAAACAAAAGAAGAGTTATTATGTTCAGATTTATATATATATATACTATTTATGTTTTCACCAAAATGCAGCGCATAAAGGGACCAAGAATCCGCACCTTTGGCACATGCACTGATGACCGAATTGAAAGTGATGAGGTTTGCTTGGAGCCTTCCTGGGACGGACACCGTCACTTCGGCTCCAACGGGACACACCGAGCCAATTGCTCCTAGTAGCGATGCCAGGAGCCCCTAGTAGCGTCCTTGCTCCTACAAACAAAAGAATAAACATCTACCAAAGTCCGCTGTGCTTCTTGACTGCACTTCATGAAATAGTTGCATTGCCCTAGGCCAGCATATCTCACAAGCGCTAATGGCAGAATTGTAGCTTATGATATCCTCCTTGCCGATGCCCAAAAGAAATGGCAAAACCGAAAGAGTGGTCAGACTCAATACGCTCATTCGGCTCACTGGGTTTGGTCTCACTGGGTCCTGGCCTGCTGGATTTCCTGCAAAGTGCTCAGCAATTCAAGCGCCTGCTGCCATTCTCCAGCTTTCTCACACGCACTGATTGCAGAATTGTAGGTGATGAGGTTTGCTTCCAGCGCTCTCTCGCTTAGATCCTCATGCATTCAGTGTGTAAATTGCCTTTCTATGAAAGAAGCTACTAGGAGCAAAGGGCATCGCTACTAGGAGCAAGAACGCTACTAGGGACTCCTGGCCGTACTACTAGGAGCAAGAAGCTACTAGGAGCAAAGGGCAAGCTATCATCACATCTTCACTTTCTGGTGCCCAGACGCGGCAAGAAGCAGAAGAGCTTGATACCATTGATTTCCTCTGGCACAGGCGTTGATTGCCGCACCATATGAAACTATGTCCAATTCCACTTCTGTTTCAAGTAGAAGGGCAAAAAGGGCCAGGGCCTCAGGGAGTACACTGGGAGTCAACTGAGTCAAACACAGCATGACGAAAGCAAAGCAAAAATAGCAAGATCGATCAAATTCTCCCGATAACTTCCCTGACAACTCGGTGTTCTCTTGTGGTGTTGCTCTGCGTGTTGAAGCGACAAATCACAGTCCGGCCTGGTTCCAGTCTGTGCTTTTGGCACAAGAGCTAATGACTGCACTTTGTAGCACCAAATCAATCTGCAATGTTTGCGCCTGATTTCTCGAGAGCAACTCCATCTTTCCTTCCGCATTCTCTGCCGGTCTCTTCCATTCCCGTCTTCTCCATTCCATCGGCTGGCAAGAGCCAAGTGTCTGCGGACAAGCCGAGCATCCAACCCTCAACATGAATACCTGCCGCCGTTAATTTTGCTTCAGAACTGCACAAGACAAAGCAATCCAGTGTGACATGAAACTTCAGCGAGGCTCTTTGGCAATTGCTTGAGCACGTGAAGACCTCAAGGTCATGTCACCACACCGCATTGGCTTTGACACTGAGCAACTCGTATGAGATTCCATTCAGCCATGGGTTTGGCCCCCTCGTTTTTTTGCAAATTCCACCCCACCAATAAGTCACTTCATCATCTTACTCTTTTGCTTGAGTCTCCAGCGAGTTTGAGGTGGAAGTAGGGCCTCATCAACAAGCCAAAGATCTTTGCATAAGGATTCAATTTGTTACCCTTTCTTGATAGCTTTGTTCACTCTTGTTGTCCACTTTCTAACATCTCAAACAAAGTAAATTAAACTGAATTGAGATGCTCAAGCTGAAGTGTCTCGCCCCTCTGTCTCTGCCTGAAGCTTGGTGGCCAAAGCTGCTAGCGGCTGAGAGCTTTCAGGCACCACACAGGCATGACGCACCTGGCGGTTCAAAGGAACAGGAATCAAATGATCGATGCCGGACTCACTGAGCCTCACTGAGGCCTACGAAATCTGAGATGACTGATCAGCCTCATTACACGTCATCTCTCGATGCTGCCCCATCCTTTTTCCTTTCTTCCAAAAGCGAGTCTTGCCACGTAGAACCAGAAGACACCTTTAAGAGCTTCCAGACTCGTCCATTCATTTCGTCCTCTTTTCGATGTGACAAGAGGCCATCACATCGCCCCACCTTAGCCTTTTCATCCCAAAGAAGTGATGCTTCACGGCAGCCAGCGGATTGCAAGCTCCGCTCCTTGACAAATATATAAAAGCATTAACAGCCTTCTTTAAATAAAGTTCTACAAACTCTAATTAAAGGCAACAAACACATCCGAAAAAAGGGCACCTTTTTGAGAGTTTTTCTAACTCGTTTGATCTCGTTTGTGTCATTCTTCGTTTTCCAATACGACCCTGAGGAGCACACAACTGCGGCTAGGTCGAGCCACTTGCCGCCAACCTATTTGATCCATCGTTGACACTTCGATTGAAAAGCAGTGCCACGCCAGTTTTTTCAACAATTCCACAACCATGTGATCAAACATTGTGATACAACCCAAATGCAGCAAATCACGATGTCTGCAGTGCGCCTTGGCGAAGCCATCTGCCCGGCCACAATATTCTAAGGTACCATCCGCTCTAAACCGGGCCAAGTCCCGGGTCCTCCACACAAGAACACTATCGCAACCAAGAATGGGAGGTTGAAGGACGCAGCTTGAGCTCAGCATAGCTCAGCCAGTCCTCCAGTCCTTTAGAACGATATTCAACATCGACCTTTTTCAGCCCCGCCTATAGTGACGAACAGGGGAGCCCTCAGCACCCACAGGAAGTTCGACAAATGCACCTGAATCATCAGTGGCTTTCAACCTCTGAAACTCCACATCCAACGCACACGATGTGGAGAGGAACACATGTGTCGAAACATTGGTTTATCACGGTTTCCGTTTCGACACGACAATGCTACAAATGGAAACAATATGAAACAATATTGTATCTTTTCTGCCTTCGTTCAGAGATGTCTTCACATATCCGATGGCGCTGACCTCGACAAGCGAAAAACACTGTCGGATTTCTAAAGTTTGGTCAAAAGGATTCATCGAAAGAAGCTACTAGTAACAAAGGGCATCGCTACTAGCAGCAAGGACGCTACTAGTACCTCCTGGCCTTACTACTAGGAGCAAGAAGCTACTAGTAGCTAGAAGCTACTAGGTGGAGGCCATCGCCACTAGTAACAATAAAGCTTTCTAGAAACTAGAAGATACAATGTATCCTTCGTTCGGCAAGAAGTGCCCAACCATTGGTCCTGCAATGTAGAGCTCTCCTTGGATTTGGCAGCCGAGCATCCCTTTACACCTTAACACATCTCAACACCTCACCTTTGAAACTGTGAACGCACGATATCTTGTGCATAGTTTTCACTTTTGCCGTTATATGGGCTCTAGCAGCTAACGCTCCATTGAAGCAACATAATATACTTTTAGATCGTCTTGCATTTTATCTTTTTGTCGCCGTTTTCGTCTGGTTACGTGCACACCAGACCTACTTAAACACAGAACTCTACAAAAGTGACATGCGGAGACGAACTCCTTAGCACAGGGTACAAGTACCTAAATTAAACCTGTTGCGTGTGTTCACAGGTGCAGAACGCTCTACCGAAAATAAGTGGTGCGCGCGGACTCTTTGCACCTTCTCACACTCTGCAAGCGAATATTCTTCTGCCAAGTTTCCAACTTCCCCTGCAAAGCAAAAAAACAAAGAAATGCACTGATAGAATGTCAGCAGTAAACTGGATTCCATCATGCTCCCAATCATTGTACATCAATCGAATTCATCCATACCCGTTCGTTGCTAACATGCTTTACATGTTCCGTCCACCAAGAAAGGCCAGAAGGTTCGGCCTGGAGGCACCTCCCGAGGCACCTCCCTGTAAGCAGTGTCCTGCAGAACGACTCGAACCTAAAGCAGAAGAATCAAGATGTCACCCATGTCACAAAAACATATCTAAAACATCCTAATCCGATGGCTTCCAACCTAATAGCGATGGCCATCAACCTATAAGGGATGGCCTCCCACCTTATGGAGATGGCCTCCAACCTAAAAGGGATGGCCTCCAACCTAATAGCGATGGCCCTCAACCTAAAAGGGATGGCCTCCAACCTAATAGCGATGGCCTCCAACCTAAAGGGATGGCCACCATCCTAATAGCATCCAATAGCGATGGCCTCCAACCTAGTAGTGATGGCCTCCAACCTAATAGCAATGGCCTCCAACCTAAAGGGATGGCCACCATCCTAATAGCATCCAATAGCGATGGCCTCCAACCTAGTAGTGATGGCCTCCAACCTAATAGCAATGGCCTGCAACCTAATGGCGATGGCCTCCATCCTAATAGCGATGGCCTCCAACCCAATAGAGATGGCCTCCGACCTAATAGCAATGACCTCCAACCTAATAGCAATGACCTCGAACCAAATAGCGATGGCCTTCAGCCCAATAGCGATGGCCTCCAACCTCATAGCGATGGCCTCCAACCTAATAGCAATGGCCTCCAACCTAATAGCAATTGCCACCAACCTTCGAGTA